CCACAGGGTATGATATGTCTTCATTATTTAACTTTCCACAGGGTATGATATGTCTTCATTATTTAACTTTCCACAGGGTATAATATATCTTCATTGTTTAACTTTCCACAGGGTATAATATATCTTCATTGTTTAACTCTCCACAGGGTATGATATGTCTTCATTATTTAACTTTCCACAGGGTATAATATATCTTCATTGTTTAACTCTCCACAGGGTATGATATGTCTTCATTATTTAACTTTCCACAGGGTATGATATATCTTCATTGTTTAACTCTCCACAGGGTATGATATATCTCCACGAGAGTGAAGTCGTTTCTCACGGGAATTTAAAGTCATCAAACTGTCTAGTGGACAGTAGGTGGGTCCTTCAGATAACGGACTATGGACTACATGAGCTAAAACAAGGCCAGGAGATCCAGTGTGGTAAAGATTTAAAGTGTCAGAGAGGTTAGTAATGATTTATAGTTTTAGGTTAACGATAAACTTGGATAAATCTATATAGATATAATAGTACTGTCTGTTGTCTGTCCATGTAACTACTTCACACAGTGTAGATAGATGTATCTTTATCAAAATTGGTATGGAGGTTCAGCGGGTCAATAGGGAGATACATACAAATTTTCAGTTTTGCATTTTGCGTTTTTTTTATGGACGTTTTTGCATTTTTTACCACTACTTCGACCCCTGTTGATGGATCTTCACCAAATTTGGCATGAAGGTTTGTTGGGTCCATGTGGAGATACTTGGAAACTTGCGGTTTTGTATTTTGTGTTTTGCAGTTTTTATGGGCGTTTTTACGTTTTATACAATTACATATAAGGGAAGCAACTTTTAATGTCCTAAGATAACCTTTCATTAATCATGAATTCACATAACTTCCGTCCAAGAGACGGGTACTCCAGCTAGTATGAAAAGCAGGCCATATAAAACTTCTAGTAAAAACTTCATGAAGTTCAGTAAGGCCGTGTGTTCCCGTTTGGGTTACGTTATTTCACGTTGTAGTACTAATTAGCTTATTAGAAATACGTTCGGATTATCGAGGTTTCACTCTATGAATGGTATATTTATTGAACTTGTTAAATCACCGAAACATCTTAATTATTGCTAACGCGGACGTTTCTAACATTAATAAAATAATATATATATTTAAACAAAGATGACCGCTCATGGTACTCCAATACTGTAAATATGCGTGATTGTAGAAGATGTCATATGTTTTGTTTCGAAATTTAATCACACGTTCTTCATATTTGACATTCGACTAATGCTTTCCAGGGTCACTATGGAAAGCTCCTGAACTGCTGAGGATGGCCAACTTTCCACCAAGAGGCACCCAGAAAGGAGACGTTTATTCTTTTGCTATTATCCTGTACGAAATAATTGGCCGGAAGGGGCCATGGGGGCCTGATCTTCTGCCTGTAAAATGTGTGTATTACAAACACTTACAAGAACATAGGACTAAAGGTAAAACAAGAACGTAATATGGCTACCATGCTGCATCTCTTGTATCCAGAGCCGACGTGATCTTTCGTCCAACACCATGACTTATCAGGTCGGCTGGGATACCACAGACACAGTAGTAGTTGAAACGCTATTGTTTAATCCTTGATAACGAGGAACTCACTTTTTAGAAAATAAAAGCTTTGAGACGGCTTGACGTCGTACGTTTATAATAAAGTTCTTTAACTACCCAGTCAAACCTTCTCGAAACTTCTATTGTTTAATGTGATGAATAATTATGAGAATGATTGTGTTTTTTTTCAGTTATATATACCTGTTCACGTAGGAATACAAAGTAAATGTCATTTTAATAATCAGTTAAAGTTATTTAAGTAATATTCGTGTCACGATTTAATGCAAATGTTGTTAAACGTATCAGTTATCGTATATACATGTCGAATCTAAACTTATGAGAGTAGAACAGGTTTTATTTTAAAAATATGTATTCAGTTGTGAAAGCTTTCTTTCTATTCGGTTAACATAAGTAATATTTTATTTTATACATGTATTTTTTATATTAGTTATCATAGAAAGGGTTATGAATCCCCGTCATTACGGTGGACAGATCTTCCGGCCCCCTATTGACGAACTCGTAGGTTGTAGCGAATACATACTAAAGTGTATGCAGGAATGTTGGGACGAAGAGCCGGATGCTCGACCGGATTTCCGATTGGTAAACCAGAAGCTAAGAGACATGCAAGCTGGACTGTAAGCTATTATATTTTAAATGTTTTCTATACTAATTTATATTACAATATCAATAGAAAATGCTTTTGTTTGTAATTAAGCACAAAGCTACACAATGGGCTATCTGTTCTCTGCCCACGACGGGTATCGAAACCCGGATTCTAGCGTTGTAAGTCCGCAGACATACCGGAGGGAGGGGCGAAAATGTTTTACAAATCTCGCTTTTTCGACTTCTGGCGGGCATTTTATGTACTGAAAAGCGGTGTACCGCGCATAAAACCACCATCGTAAACCACATCATGTTCAATGGTTTGTTTGTGCAGATTGCTGATCTTAACACATCGTAATTTTCTTTCAGGATTTACGTTTATCTCAATACAACTAATACTTGTGTGATTTTCTCCTGTCCTTTATTGTAAACAGAGACATATCAGATTATTACTCACTTTTCTTCTACATTTCCTTATCAAAATACCACGAGCTGGTAGGATATTCATCCACGAAGCCGTATTCGGATAACACTTAATAACAACAGAAATGAAAGAAATCAGATCACGCATTGTCATCAGTTTATCTTAGGGTTTCACGAACCACAACTAGAAAGTTAGTGTTAGTTAATGGGTAAGAGAGTAGAATTGTGTCGCTTCTGAACATTTCAAAGATATTAACATAAATAACTCAAGATGACATTCTAACATAAGAAAAACCCTAGAAGTACCTTTAAAATATCAAATATCGACAGGTTTCATCAGCAAAGGCTATATCACTGAAAAACGTATAACGTGCTGATCACACAAACACTGCTGTTACTTGAAATAGAAAAGTCTACGTCGACTGTAACTTGTAGAGTTAATCACAAAACGTTCACCTTTTTGTAACTATTATTGTGTTACGTTTGATATGGAGGCTTAGACAGTTAGATGTGAAAACTGTTGTTTATAAAACTTAAATAAAATATCAATATATTTTATTTCATCTTTTTGCGTTACTTCTTGAGATATAGATAGATAAATGAATGGATTTCCGATAGACAGATAAATAGACTTCTGGTAGACAGATAGATGGATTTCTGATAAACGTGTTCAGTAAAATATATTGTCCTTAAGCCAGTTTTTCCACACAAAAATCTATTACACGATCTTTCAAAATAAATGACATTTCTGTAGTGGTTACTACATTGCAGTTTAAAAACTAACTCCTAAACACGTGTCTTAACTTATAAATCGCTAGGAGTATTGCTTTGTTTAACGTAAAAACTTTCTTGTAAAACAATTTACGTTTTTGGTTTAAAAAAGTAACTCATTAGACGAGGCCCGGCATAGCCCCAATATGCTCGCTCTTTCAGCCATAGGGGCATTATAATGTAACGTTCCATCGCACTATTCGTTGGTAAAATAGTAGCCCATAAGTTGGCGGTGGGTGGTGATGACTAGCTGTCTTCCCTCTGGTCTTTCACTGCTAAATTAGGGACGGCTAGCGGAGATAGTCCTCGTGTAGCTTTGCGCGAAATTCAAACCAATCATAAGACGAATCTATTTCCACGTTTCTGTAAGTTCAGTTTTGCCACGACCCATTTTGTTAGTAGAGGATATATTTATGTTTCTTTATAGTTATGCTCCCCAGTGGCACAGCGGTATGTCTGCGGACTTACCACGCTAGAAACCGTGTTTCGATACCCGTGGTGGGCAGAGCACAGATAGCCCTTGTGTAGCTTTGTGCATAATTAAAAACAAACAAACCTTATAGTTATAGAAAATTGTAAAGAATTTTACTAGGATTTATCATTTTTCAAACCATTTTATTTAATGATTATACAATCTATTCCTAGATTCTGGAAGAAATGTTCTCAGTTAAGCCTCACGTTTGAGTTAAACAGCATTTAGATTTATATGAAGAACTTCTTGGAAAGAAAGAGAGTTTTACGACTGAGTTTTGCATTTGATTAGTGAAAAGTTTGACCAGTCTTAATTTGTGATCTGGAGAAATGTAAGCTGCAGTAAGAAATTAGAACATTTTTACAACTTGTCAAATGGTCCAAGGTTCGGACCGCGATTCCGCTGAACATTCCCTCGCATTTTCAACTGTGAGAACCTTATAAGAGTAACAGTTAATTCCATTATGCGATTCAAAGAGCCGAAAAAAGCCTTTGTGGCAGCGGGTGCTGCTGATTGGCTGCTTTCCCTCTGATCACTCTTTAAAAATTAGTCCTGACCGTTTAGCCCATCTTCTATTCTTGTATAGGGATCTTTGTCCCGACTCTTTTGCCCATGTTCTATACCTGCATAGGGATCTCTATCCTGAGTGTTTTGTCCATGTTATATACCTGCATAGGGATCTCTATCCTGACCGTTTAGCCCATGTTCTATACTTGTATAGGGATCTTTGTCCCGAATGTTTTGCCCATGTTCTATACCTGAATAGGGATTTCTATCCTGACCATTTAGCCCATGTTCTATACCTGTATAGGGATTTCTATCCTGACAGTTTAGCCCATGTTCTATACCTGTATAGGGATATCTGTCATGACCGTTTAGCCCATATAAGCTGTAGTTTAGGTTAAAAATACCAAATTCTAAAGAACAGTGACAGCTAAGTTCTATTTGTTAATATTAGAATGTTTAAAAACTTGGTTAAAAACCAAATGAAAAAAATGTACGCTAAACAGACTGTAATAAACATACAGTTTATGTACAACTTTGTTCAGTTTCGTTTTTAGTCACACATCTGTTATGAAATTAGCAACTCAGATAGGAGAATATTAGTCTGGTATAAAATATTTATATTGGTTGTTTTATGTGTTCTTGGAGACACTTGTGATTCTGGAGCAAGATTTGGGTTCATGCTCTCTCTGACGGCTGTGCATCTTGTCAATAATCTTGCCACGTAGTTTCCTTTACATCACTCCTTTTTCGTGCTTTACATAATACATTTAGTGTTCGAAGACGACAGTTTCCCAGCGCCCATTTCATCAGTTCAACCACACAGAAATCCATAGCACTGCATCTGGTAGCTTGACCAGTATGTCCTCATATGGAATAGCATGGACACCTTTCTTTCTCCAGCTGCTGAGGTATGGAAAGGTTGAACAAATATGACAGAGAAGCAACTTCTATACTTGTATACTTCAGTTGCATTTCCAGACAGAAACTCTATTTGTTTATGTTGTGTACTATTGCCTGGGGCACATGTATGGATTTTGACACTGACCTTGACGTTCTTGGTTTCTCTCCTGTTACAAGACGCTGCATTTTGCTTACCACAGCTGGGGTACGATTTGTTGCAGGTCTCTTTCTGGTTAGTCTTGGTGCTCCTGATATATATATTCCTTTGTCTTCCTATGTTATTAAGTAAGAGGGATATCCCCGCCTTATAAGTTGTAAACCCCGATCTCAACACATCTTTATGATCTCAGGATAGAAATATTTTGCGTTTGAAACGGCTGTTACATACTTTTCCCAATAGGCGATCAATCTTCAGTAGCATGAAATTACCTACATCACGCCAAACAATGTTCAGAAGTAGTCCATTCTCCTTCAGGAGCAGAAAGAAGTTTTGTTTCTTTCCTGTGTGATTGGTTAACATTAGAATTACATGATTTATAAATAACAATCATCTTAGGATTAGCTAAGTTCTTTTTTTTTATTACAATTCACTTTCAAACATCAGATATTTAATTCTCCTTGCATGGTATTCCTGATAATTTTGCGGCAAAGATTCTGGACAAGAGCAGTCAGTTGAGCGTACATTTTGTTTATACAGACAGACGTCATTCGTTTGATTTTTCAATTTCTTTCAACTTTATTAAACCGAACTTTTTAAAACAGTCCTACTAGTTACTTCTTTTATAACATGTTATTTTAGTCATGTAGTGGAATACATATTATACACGTGATTTGGATTTTTTTTCTCCACTTGATTCTCAGTAAAAACAACATTTTTGACAACATGATTGCTATCATGGAGAAGTATGCCTACAATCTAGAAGGCCTCGTTCAAGAAAGAACCAATCAGCTAATGGAAGAAAAGAAAAAAACAGAAAATTTACTTCTGCGGATGTTACCAAAGTAAGTATTGGTAGAGCGAATAACGCTAAGGACTGATTAATGAAAACATTACTATTTTTCTTGAAGCGATCGAATATTTTTTTGGCTCATAGTATATGACTTCAATCGAATTGTTGGAAATAAATTATGACGTCATTAAAGAAGTTTTTTAACAGTAACATCCACTATAGAAGAACTAAATAAAAAATTTTACGCTCGATCTTTGGTTCTAGTTCTGTGTTTCCAACCCACCGGTGGCTGAGCAGTAAGTTTGAAGAATGAGATTGCTGAAAACCAGGTTTTAATACCCGTGGTGGGCACAGCACAGACAGCCCATTATGTAGCTTCACACTTAACAACAAAAAACAAACAAATCAACTGTTCCCTACTTTTTTATTGCTGAACCTTTCAGGAATCTGCGCAACTCCAGCTGCTAAAAATTAATTTCAACCGGCCAATTCAGCTTTTATTTTGTTACATATGGTATTTTTTCAGCCAAACTCGCGACCCTACCAGAGCCTTTCACGACCCCAGGTTTGGCAACTACTGTTCTAGTTGAAGGACATACTTTATTTAAATTAACTAATTATTTACCTCTTAATTAATACTTTCCCGAGCACTATCTTTCTCCAGAGAAAAATCCATTAGCTATTTATGGAATGTTTAATTTGAACTTAATTCAAACTTATTAGTGAAGATATTGTAATGCGTTTTTTTTATGTGTTATGGTTTTGTTTGTTTGCTGCACAAAGCTACATAATGGACTTAGCGCTGAGCCACCATCAGGTTTTCTTCATATAACAACTATCACAAACACTTAGATCCTGTCTTTTCGTCGGAAAGTTTTTGTTTGGTGTTGTGAAAATGTTTGATTTCTCGTATTTCTCAATTTGCCAAATAATATTTTACTATACATGATTTAACAAACGTTACTTCCGGTAACGAGACATTGCTAGTTAGATAAACATATAAGGTTTATTACTATTCCGGCTGATGGATTACTTGTCAACGCGTAAATCCGGTTTAATTATTATTTCCCCAACAACACGAATTAACTTAAAGGTAAGAAGAATGGTGTTTTATCAGATTTGTTTTTTATCTTTAATTTCATATTTTATAGCCTTAATCAGACTTTTGCCGAAGAATTAACCACGTTAATTTCAGGCCTCAGCCTGTGAATCAAAATATTCTCTTTTATTTAAACCTAATTGGCGCCTACTCTCTTTCTTCATATTTAAGGATCAGATATCAACTTTATGGTCATCATTAGTGGTTTATAAATTTACTTGTCCTTGCTGTCGTCAGCAAGGCTATATTGGTTCTACAAAAAGGAAACTTCTAACTCGTATATAAGAACACGCCAACTACAGCTCTCCACTAAGTCAACGTTATTAGAACATGCCCTAGGAGAATGTCACGTTGTCGTTCGTTATAATTTATTTAAGATCCTTTGCTAAGGCCAATGATGAACGAAACATCCGTAAAAAAAAAAAACATTTTGTTTGTTTTACTTTGCTTACACCACAAAATTCATCATTATCAAACACAGTTATTTTGTCAGCTAATATCACAGTTAACCACTGGTAGTTATGGTTATTTACTCAACTTGTACCACACAGTTAATAACCGGTGGTTATGGTTAATTACTCAGCTTCTACCATACAATAAGTCACTGGTAGCCATGGTTATATACTCAGCTTGTACCAGGCAATAAATCACTATCCGTCATGGTTATTTACTCAGCTTTTACCATACAGTTGATAACTGGTAGTCATGGATACTTACTCAGCTTGTACCAGGCAATAAATCGCTATCCGTCATGGTTATGCTTATTCACTAGCTTTTTCTTGTACATTCACATTTTGTGTGACGCATTCTTTAATATACTCCTTAAGAAAAACATCGTTTTATTCTCTTTATTCTACATAGTATTTTTTATGTAATATCTTGTTTTGTACGGCATAGTTGTAAAATTATTTATTTCTGATTCTATACTCTGCATGGCATCGTTCTGTGTTCCCGATAACTTTGTGTTCTTTATGTAATATCTTGTTGTGTACTGCATAGTTGTAAAATTATGTATTTCTGATTCTATACTCTGCATGAAATCGTTCTGTGTTCTTTATGTAATATCTTGTTGTGTACGACATAGTTGTAAAATTATTTATTTCTGATTCTATACTCTGCATGACATCGTTCTGTGTTCCCGATAAACTCTGTGTTCTTTATGTAATATCTTGTTGTGTACGATATAGTTGTAAAATTAGAACGATGTCATGCAGAGTATAGAATCAGAAATAAATGTGTTCCCGATAGACTCCGTGTTCTTTATGTAATATCTTGTTGTGTACAACATAGTTGTAAAATTATTTATTTCTGATTCAATACTCTGCATGACATCGTTCTGTGTTCCCGATAAACTCTGTGTTTTTATGTAATATTATGTTGTGTACGGCATAGTTGTAAAATTAGTTATTTCTGATTCTATACTCTGCATGACATCGTTCTGTGTTCCCGATAAACTCTGTGTTCTTTATGTAATATCTTGTTGTGTACGGCATAGGTGTAAAATTATTTATTTCTGATTCTATACTCTGCATGACATCGTTCTGTGTTCCCGATAACTCTGTGTTCTTTATGTAACATTTGTTTCTTTTTCTACGTTCTGTGTTCTTTGTGTAATATTTGTCTCTTTTTTTTACGTTCTGTGTTCTTTGTGTTTCTGCCAATTATTGTCTTTATATAATATTTATTTCTTCTACGTTCAGTATTCCGGCTAACTCTGTATTTTTTATGTAACATTTGTTTCTTTTTACACGTTCTGTGTTCTTTGTGTAATATTTGTCTCTTTTTTTACGTTCTCTGTTCTTTGTCTTTCTGCCAACTATTGTCTTTATATAATATTTATTTCTTCTACGTTCAGTATTCCGGCTAACTCTGTATTTTTTATTTAATATTTGTTTCTTTTTACACGTTTTATGTGACATTATTAGTTAATTCTACTGGCTCCAAAATTTCAAGTGATGTTTGTCTTCACATATACGCGAACCCCGGGTAATTGAGCGGTAAGATTAAGGACTTACAATGTTAAAATCTGGGGTTTGATTGTCCGCGGTGGACACGGGACAGATAGCTCATTGAGCAATTGTGCTCTAAAAACAAACAAACGTTTCTGGATTTTGCTCTAATGTTTCTGATATCTCTGTATTTTCTACGATATCGTTGTAAAATATATCTTCCTTATTTCTATATTCCGTATGATAGTGTTCTCTTTTTAAGGCCTGTAGCAGAGCAGTTAAAACGTGGAGAACCAGTGGAGGCGGAGAGCTTCGACTGTGTCACCATTTATTTCAGTGATATAGTTGGCTTTACCGAACTTTCGGCTGTCAGCACACCATTACAGGTGAGAAAGGTAGACATATTAAGATATATGTAATTTCTACTTAAAACAGTATTGGTCAGTTTTTGTATTATTTAAACGAAGCATTTTCATTAAGAAATCCCCCCTGTAAGTTTACAATTTGGGTGAAATCACTCAGTTTATATGTTCAATATATAGGGGACTGCAGTGGTAATTATTGGCATTAACTACAATATTACAGTAACTCGTATGTTGTTAAAGGACCCTGTAACAAAAAATGTCATGTACCTACAAGCAATTTGGGGCGTAAGTAGTTTAAAAATATGCATTTAAAAAAGGCGCTGGAGTCTATTAATTCTAGGGTTAACTTAACTTATATCCACAGATGTGTTATATTACAGATCCATGGTGTCCATTTCTCTTGTTTCATATATTTCAGTGTACTGATTATAAGAAAGGAGCTAGTTATATATATATATCTGATATTAGGTGTATATATATTTGTGACGTGCAGGTTGTTGATCTATTAAATGACTTGTACACCTGCTTTGACTCTATCATTGGTAACTACGACGTGTATAAAGTAGAAACCATTGGAGATGCCTATATGGTAGTTAGCGGGCTTCCGCTAAGAAATGGAGACAACCACGCACGAGAAATCGCTTCTATGGCACTTCACCTTTTGGGGGCTATTCAGTCGTTCGAAATCAGGCACATCCCAGGAGATAGACTTAAGCTCAGGATCGGTGTTCATTCCGGTAATTCTTGCTTTCTTTGTTTTTACATAACGTTTAACATACAGATTCACTTTTATAGTCAGACTGTTCGCCAGGTTTTTGTAACTAGAAATATTAATACAAATGGGTAAGAAAAGTAAAAAAATAATAATGTTCAAGTGAAACATGAAAGAGAAACATGGTAGACATTTTTGCTGAAACGTAACAGCAAGTAGTGTGTGTGTGTGGTCAATCTTCATTCACATATATAGAAATCAGTCCTGTGGAGACTTTGAAAACTAATTATTTGTTAATGCTTTGTTAGGATAAAGCAGAAAATCTAAGATATCAGTTTGTCACCGAGTCATATTCCCCAATTATCTAATTAATATTAGGCCTAAAATTTATGATAAAGATCATGTTAATTGCAAATGTACCTTTTCCGCATTCTTCCTCAGTTGTTCGGATTCAAAATAAAAATAGCATTTCAGACCTATATTTTGTCTCCCACGAGTCACTGTCCAAGAGGCCTTTCGGTCAATACCAGAACTCGTCAGTTGCGCTGGATGGTGAGAGACAAAAGATTCTCTGAAACACCATTTACATTAACAATATAATACTTTAAAAGTAACAGTTTACGATGGCGAACCATTAGGCCTAAAATCAGAGATATATACATGGTAACAGAACATAATTTTTGTGGTCTGCCCGGAGGTGAATCGTGAATCTTCCTTCATCAGGGGTGACCTGATCCATCTGAAAACTTGTGAAACTTTAACTGCTCTTCCAGTATCATGGTAAGGTGGTTATACAACTCATTTCCGTTAAACATCACAATAAAATACAAATCCAATGAACTTTCATTCACAAAAAAAAAATACTACTTCGTCATCTTATATAGCCAATTTGATTTTTCAATTGATTTAGCAAGTATACATTTCATTCAGTGATTAACATCAATTGACTTGTTTCGAAGAGTGGTTTCCTTTTCTTAACTTTAACAGCCTCTGATACGTTCTAAGATAGTTGCGGTTTTGAACTGAAGCAATACGAACAAGATTTGAAAGCAAGGCAAAAAATCAGCGTATGTCGCAAAAACGGTCATGTTTGAACACTCGCGAGGGGGGGGGCAAAAATTATTTCAACTGAGACCAGCTCATTCCGGGCTTCTTTGATTTAAACTGTTACTACAAAGTGTGAAGTCCAGAGCAGAGGATGTGGTGTTGTTTGAGTTACCCAGTATAGTGGCTGTGGGGTTATCTAGGTTATAAAGTATAGAATGTGGGGTTGTCTAGGTTATAAGGTCGTATTGTCTGGATTATCCATTGTAGAGGATATGGTATTGTCTGTGTTATCCATTGTAGAGGATATGATATTGTCTGTGTTATCCATTGTAGATAATATGGTATTGTCCGTGTTATCCATTGTAGAGGATATGTTTTATCCGGTGTAGGATATGGTATTGTCTGTTTTATCCGGTGTAGGATATGGTATTGTCTGTGTTATCCGGTGTAGAATATGGTATTGTCTGTGTTGTCCATTGTAGAGGATATGGTATTGTCTGTGTTGTCCATTGTAGAGGATATGGTATTGTCTATGTTATCCATGGTAGAGGATATGGTATTGTCTGTGTTTTCCATTGTAGAGGATATGGTATTGTCTGTGTTATCCATTGTAGAGGTTATGGTATTGTCTGTGTTATCCGGTGTAGGCAACACAAACAATACCATATCCTACACCGGATAACACAGACAATACCATATCTCTACAATGGACAACACAGACAATACCATATCCTCTACAATGGAACACCCTACATTGTATAACCAAGACAACATCCCATCCTCTACACTGGATAAACCAGACGGCACCACATCCTACACCGGATAACACAGACAATACCATATCCTCTACAATGGACAACACAGACAATACCATATACTCTACAATGGATAACACAGACAATACCATATCCTCTACAATGGACAACACAGACAATACCATATACTCTACAATGGATGATGGTATCCGTGTTATACAGGTTATTTAAAGTATGCTGAGGTTCGAGCGCGGCAGTACTAAAGAAACAACTTGGTTCTATCCTAGTTTTACATTGCTGGGGAAACGAACCGCTTTGAAACGGAAGCAGCAAAGAAAAATAAATAAATAATTGAGGAGTGTCTGTAGGCAAGCAGAATATCAAACATTCGTTACTGAACTTGTTGGGAAGCCTTTAATCCTGCTTTGAAACCTGTATTGACAACCAACACCAATTATTAAGCGCGAACGGTTCAAAGTTTTCTTTTTCCAATTTTTATGTTACTATTACAAGAATGGTTCAGTCTGGCATGTCACAGTTAAATGGATAATAACAAGAAAATAATTTTGTTAAAAATCTTTTTTTCTTCACCTTTTAAAGCCTAACATTTTTTTTATAACTTTAACACTTAATGCAGCTTACACCTTTCAAACGAACAAACATTACTTAAGTTTCGTATAGCTCTATAGAAAGAAGGGCGTGACTCGTGAAGAACGTGTCTTGTTGTTGCTCATGCAACAAAAATATTTATTTCTGAATTAACACCACCTTCGCAAGACATATCCTACACTGTTAATATTTAACTATTTTCTTATATTAATAATCCCAACACTCGTCCCCCAAGCAAACGTGAAAACGTAACTGTTTGTATACATTTAACCTCACATTTACATAATTAATTTGAATGAAATCTAACATTCGTATATTTTATATAGGTAAGGTTTAATATCATTTTCTTTCTGCTAATGTTTAATGTGTCGTTTTTCTTATAGACAAAACTTAGCAATATTTTCACACCGTAAACATCAATCACTCTTAAGCTCTGTATAATATATTTTCCATCATTTCCAGGGCCATGTGTAGCTGGAGTAGTAGGACTCAAGATGCCGAGATACTGTTTGTTTGGTGATACGGTTAACACAGCCTCCCGTATGGAATCTACGGGGGAAGGTAAAATTTGATTTTTTTTTAGATCAGTTACCAGTCCATGGAGTTCTTTTGGAAAATGTAAGGAAAAATTTGTCAGGAAAAAAAAAAGTATTAAAGGTAGTTTATAAAATCCAAATGTAACAAAATAAAACTAGCTGGTATTCCGAGAAAGATTATAAGATACAGATATCCAAAACTATAGGATAGAGATATCAGATATTCTGAGAAATAAATACAATATAAGGCTGTTAGGTTTTCAAAATTACAAGATAAAGTTATCGTCTGTTTTATTAACAGATGTGCAGATGTCGTTCTTACAGTCATATTATAAGGATAAAATTAATTATTTGTTTAGATATTACTACAGACTAAAAAGTCAAACTGATATCACAGAATAACAAATTTGGTGAACAAATAAGCGATAAAAATCAGTTATTTCGCAAAAAAAAGGTTATTCGTGACGTTACCTGCTTAACAAGAGCACCTAAGGAGTTTAAAAGAACTAATATTGTTTTTACTTCACAATTTCCTATAAGAAAAGTAGAGAAGGACGAAAAAACACCAATATTTAAGGTTTTCGAAAGATATTTTACTAGATTAACTTCTATTTTTTCAAGAGTAATCCCAAACCATCAGAATGCTCTCAAATCAAGAAATTCAAAAATTAGCTTTGTTATTTATAATTCATAACAATTACAAGAGAGCCGAAGCAATCTTAAAGTATAAAATATTTAGGTTGTTTCTATCTGAAGCATTTTGCTCAGTTATTAAATTTAATATCTGTAACAAAGTAATCTTAAAGACTAAAACAATTAGAGATTTAGGTTTCAATCTGAAGCATTTTGCTAAGTTATTAAATTTAATATCTGTAACAAAGTAATCTTAAAGACTAAAACAATTAGAGATTTAGGTTTCAATCTGAAGCATTTTGTTCAGTTATTAAATTTAATATCTGTAACAAAGTAATCTTAAAGACTAAAACAATTAGAGATTTAGGTTTCAATCTGAAGCATTTTGCTAAGTTATTAAATTTAATATTTGTAGCGAAATAACCTTAAAGACTGAAACAGTTAGAGATTCAGAGGAAGAAGTATCAAGTTGAAACATTTTGCTAAATTATTCAACTTAATGTTTGTAAGTAAGAAGAAGATAACTTTTATTAAATATGCTAGAACGTTTTGCTTTTCAAGCTTAATGTTTTATTATACTTTTTAAAATATCTTTGGCATCGAATTCTCGCTTATTCCAAAATAATTGTTAAAACTTAATTTAAAATGGGATTTATTTCAATATTCTGGCCCCCCGTGGCAAAGTTTTAAGTTTCAATACCCATAGTAAGCACAACAATCAATATCAATT